GACTTGTACGTTGCTGAATAAAATAATTCAATATGTTAGGATTTTCACAGGTTGCATTATTGCAATCCAAGACTCTGGCCAACAATAGGGATAAGAATAAGATAGCTAAGTTAAATGCTATGTAGAATTTAAGCATATTAGTAGAAAATTTTTGAACATTTATGTATTGTAACGATCATATTTAAATATTAAAATTTTAAAACAGAATTCTGGAAAGAAGATGCAGCTGAAGAAGACGACCAAGTAAATGACAAAATAGGATTTCTGCACATATATAAACTGTATCTGCTGCATTTTATTTCCACTTTAAAGAAAGATACAATAGGAGGTGCTAATACATTGCATACTACTCTAAGTACTTGCATACAGGGAAAGAAGTTGGGCTTTGATCTTTATCAATGCTGATAAGGCATCTTTCACATTCATCCTCTCTCGAGGGACTTTGTTGAACATTTCATGCCTATCTCAAAGATAGCTGACACACACTGCAACTTTTCATCATACTTTTCTTCATTTGGTCCAAGTAAATTTGGGTCTATAATCTGACTTGTATTTGTAGGAAGTGCATTGTGAACCCAACTTCTCAAGTTTAAATCTTCACTGAACATTTCATCTCCAGGCTGAGTCTTCGTGAAAACTTCAAGCAACATAATGCCAAAGCTGTACATATCGCTACGTGTGGATACAAGACCTTCCTGTCCATATTCTAGGAGTGCAAATTTTGATAGGAAACCATTAGAAATGCATAATGTTATGTGATGAATGTTAAAATCAAATCGAGAAAGTTAAAAAACTGAAACATCTACCTGGAGCAATGTAACCAATTGTTGCTAAGGTGTTTGTAATGGCAATGGAATTCCCATCTCCCAAGAGCTTTGCAACACCAAAGTCACTCAAATATCCCACCATATCAGCATCTATTAACACATTACTGGGTTTCAAGTCGCAATGGATAATAGGATTGAAGTAACCATAGTGGAGATATTCCAAAGCAGATGCCACATCTATCATTATACTCACTCTTTGTATCATGTCCAAGAAATAACCGTGAGAATGCAGCCACTTATGTAAACACCCATTGGGCATATACTCTAGCAGCAATGCTTTAAAATTCAAGTTGGAACAACTGCCAAGGACCTTTGTGAGATTTCTGTGACGAATGCTGCGTAAAACCTCACATTCGCTGTCAAAACTCCTATGTGAACCTTCATGTTCCAAACGGAAAACCTTGTTAGCTACGTGCATCCCATTTGTTAAAATCCCTTTATAAACTGATCCGAAGCTTCCACTACCTAGCGAGTTGCTTTCATCAAACCCATTTGTTGCCCGTTGGAGTTCATAGTACGAATATCTTGCTGGAGTTGTTTCTGACAGAAAGTTTGCTTCATCTGGAACCTCCCTGTCGTGCCTCTTGAAGATGCATAGCACAGAAATAGAGGCAATTAGCACTATAAGAACTGCCAACGAGACAAGTACAATAAGAACCACTCTGTTCTTGTTTGATTGATGGGCAGGGCAAGGTGGGACATGCATCCGAGGAGTACCACTACATAGACCATCATTCCCCAAGAATGATTCATAAGTGTAGTTGACAAAAGGGCCTCCACTCGGAATTTCTCCGGTTAATTTGTTGTAAGAAACATTGAAATAGTTCATACTTATAAGTCCCTCCAATGACTTGGGAATTATTCCGGAGATTTTATTATCGGAAAGATCCAAAGAATGTAGATCCAAGAGTTTGCCAAATGTGTCAGGAATAGAACCATGGATTGTGTTATGAGCCACAGAAAAATTCATCAACTCTGTCAAACCTCCAATACTATTCGGAATTTCTCCGGATAGTTTGTTATTTGAGAGATCAATAAGTATTGCGGTCTTTGCATTTCCAATTTCTCGAGGTAGAGAACCGCTTAAGTTATTCGAATGCAAGTCGAGCCTCAAAAGATTTTTAATGCTCCATAGACTAGCAGGGAAGGCAGTGAATTCGTTTTCATACAGATAGATCTCTCTCAAGGAAGAAATGTTCCTTAAACAATCCGAGATTGGACCTGAAAATTTATTTTTTCCTAAATCTATCCAAAACAATTTCTGTAGTTCACAAATCACATCTGGAAATGATCCTATTAATCTGTTCTCTGGTATGCCGAATGCCTGAAGACTCTGAAGAGCCTGAATGGTTGTAGGCAAAAATCCTAAAATGTCATTGGACCCTAAATCCAACAGATATAAGCTACTCAGATTGCCAATCTCCTCTGAAATTCGTCCCTTGATGTTACAATTTTCTAGGTGGAGAAATTGGAGAGTGTGGGAGAGGTTGCCGATTGCATTTGGGAGCACAACGTTTAAAGGGTTAAATGACAATGTTAAGATTGTGATGTATCTACAGTTTGCCAATGAAGTTATAAGGCTAAATTGAGGATCAGTTGTTAGGTTGTTGAAATGCAGTGTTAGAAAATCGAGTTTTGCTAAGTTTCCAAGGGAATTTGGAATGAGGCCTGTGAATTGGTTCTCGGAAAGTTCAAGACTAACAAGATTGGAAGCATTTGAGATGTGGGGAGGTATAACTCCTCCAATATAGTTTCTTCCAAGGTATAAGTATTCTAAACTAGGAAGGGAATGACCTAAAAATGTTGGAAGAGTACCTGAAAGGTTATTTACTGCAAGGGATAGTCCTATGAGTGTTGACATATTGAAGATTTCCCACGTAATGGAACCACTTAATTCATTTATCTCCAATACAAGATACTCTAGTTTATCAAGGTTGCCCAACTCTTTTGGTATTTCACCTGCATGCATGCCAATTCAAGTTACTGAAGCTAAGTCATGAACAAATACAATATCAAAATATAATTGTCATGATGGAGTGTATTCCTAGATTTACATTATAATTCTTTATTTTAATTTTGCACCTGATAAAAAATTGTATGTGTTGAGATCAGAGTGCAGAACAATTAAAAAAAAAAAAAAAAAAGAGCTCAATTTTCCATACTTGACAAAAGATTTGTGATGAATGTCTAAAACTAATGCTTTTTCCTTGCACATTTTGGTATTTTTACTTGTTAATCACTATATTATTGAGCCAATTTGGTAACTTATGGAATGATTGTTTGTGCTTAGGTGACTTGACAAGAAAATGATGTTTTGAGCCAAACATTGAGTTATTTGATCAAGATTTCAAGTCATCATAGCATGAGGATATTTTTGTGAGGCAAAATGAAGAAAAGAAGATTGAACAACACTCTTCCATGTGCCAAATATTTGTGACTTAGTGGTCTTGATGATATAGGCAATTCAAAGCAAAGGCAAAGCAAAAGATAGTAAGGTGGCATTTCTCGCCCAGATTGACGCAGTCTCCGTATTTTGACCATATCTCGGTCTAGGAATGTCCAAATCAAGTGATTTTTATATCATTGGAAAGATAACTTCAAGGGCTACAACTTTGATGAAGACCACAAAGGCTAATTCAAACGTTTCAAGGGTGAAAATATTCCTAGAAGATGGACTCTGTGCACAGGCAGTGCACACTGCCAGTGGCCACGGGTGTGGCCAAGGCCGTGGCCACACCCGTGGCCACTGGGCAGTGTGCCCTGCATTTCTGGCCACGGGTGAAGCCACGCCCGTGGCCAGCTCTCTGCAACACATAGCAGCCCGTTTTTGCTCATTTAAAAGGGGATTTTTCACCCCAAAAACACATCTTTCATTCTCCTTTCATTTCTCTAGTTAGGGTTAGTTTAGAATAGCTTAGATTAGTGTAGATTTGTGTTTCCTTTCCATTTCCAAGCTCAAGAACATTGCAAATCTTGGATTTCAAGGCTTCAATAGAGAAGTTTTCTTATTCATCTCTTCTCTTTACTTTTCATCTATGCTTTCAATTTCTCTTTTAATATTGTGTATCTATTGTTATATTATGAGTAGCTAAGTGTTTTGGGACTAGGATTTGGTTTGATTTCTTGCTATTGATGCCTATTTGAGATGTATTGCATAAAGAGGATTATTTGGGTGATCTAGGGTTGTTGTGTGAAATGAGTTTGTTGAGAAATTTGTGTATGATTCTTGGATCCCAATTATATGCTTCATTTGGAGTGTGTTTGTTGCTACGAGAGTAGTGCTTGTACACTAGCCACACATTCACACACTTAATGCCCAATACGAGAGTATTTCGGGTGTTAAGGAGAATTAATCTTTGCCTTGTGTTCTTGTTTGGGCATCCTTGGGTTGAATTACCACAAGAGTGGAGTTTAATGTGAGGTTGCAAGTCCAAATAGCTACGAGAGTAGTATTTGGACACTTTTGTGCATCTCACTTACCCTATGCCTTGTTTAATTCTCTAATCTTGAGTACAATATTTGGCATCTTAGCTTGAATCAACCAAGTCCCGGTCCTTTGTTTTACTTGTCTTATTTGTTATTAGCTTAATTTTATCAAACCATCTCCTTATCGATAGGTCTAGCTTCTAAAAGGGTAGTTTTAGCTTGTGCTTAACTCCACTTTACATCAATTCCTAACATTACAAGAGCCATCTCCAGTGGAACGATATCTAAACTCTATACTGTGATTTGATACTTGATGGATGTATGAAAAATGTCCTCATCAATTTGCCACCAAAATCAAGATTCTCTAGAATTGTCAAATTCTAATCTGTCTTGACATCAACCCATTTAATTGATTCTCCCACATATAAAGGTGTTTAAGTGAAGAGCATTCACCTATACTCTTTGGAATGTTACCATATAGCTTGTTCGTATACAAGTATAGTTTTTCAAGGTTTGAAGGTGTGAAAACATGTTTGGAGGGAGAATAACAAATAGGCTATTGTTTTCCATGCTTATAATTGTTATGTTAGAAATATTAAATATTGTTTCAGGTATTATTCCTGTAAAATTAAAACATGAGTCATATGTAGTGTATATGTATTTAGAATTATTATAGAAAACTGTTAAATTTGATCATTTTCAAAGATTTCACAATACTCCAGTAGCCAATGCAGGAACATACATTACCTTCTAAGTTGTTATTATCAACTCTTAAAATCTGAAGCATATTCAAGCTCTCAATCTCTCTTGGTATTTCACCTGCCAATTCAATTTACCCAAGCTAAGTCACGAACAAATATGATACCAATACGTTGTTGTAGCTCAATAAAACATTGTACATGTTGCGGGTGCAAGACAATTAATTTAAAAGAAGAGATCTATCCTTCATACCTGACAATGAATTCTCAGCAAGTTCAAGATCCTTTAGCATTGTCAAATTTCCAATATGTCTTGGCAACGACCCATTTAGTTGATTACCCCACATATAAAGGTATTTAAGCGAAGAGCATTCACCTATGCTCCTTGGAATGTTGCCATATAGCTTGTTCTTATACAAGTAAAGTTCTTCAAGCTTTTGAAGATGTAAACACATGTTTGGTGGAAGAATACCAAACAGACTGTTGTTTTCCATGCTTATATATGTTAGTGTAGAAATGTTAAATATTGTTTCAGGTATTGTTCCTACAAAATTAAAACATGAGTCATAAATAGGGTGTATGTGTTTAGAATTATTACTAAAAATTATTAAATTTGATCGCTATATTTTCATAGGTTTCGCATTACTCTAATAACTAAATACGTACAGGAACATACCTTCAAACTTGTTACCACCCAGTTTTAAAATCTGAAGCATATTTAAGCTCCCAATCGCTTTTGGAATTGTCCCAATAAAATTGTTGTAAGCCAATCGCAATTGTTCAAGTTCTGAGCAACTTGATAAATTCTTTGGAATATAACCACTCAACTTGTTTAAAGACAGGCGAAGCACTTTGAGTCTTGTAGCATGTTGACAGAGCTTCATCGGAAGAGAGCCAGATAAGCTATTTTCGTTGAGGACCAAATTTTGTAATGTGGAAATGTTGAAGATGGTGAAGGGGATAGGACCATCAAGTTGGTTAACTTCCAATATTAGCCATTTTGCATTCTCAAGATTGCCAATCTCCTCTGGAATTTTTCCACTAAAATTATTATAACCAAAATCTATGTACTGTAGCCGATGTAGGCTAGCTAACTCTCTAGGCAAATTTCCATAGAAACTGTTGTGACTTATGTTAAGAGAAACAAGAAAAGAGAGGTTGCCTAATTGTGGAGGAAGGGTACCCACAATACCCATATTTGATATGTCTAATGCGACCACTCTATGGTGTTTGGATCCGCAAACAACTCCAATCCAGTTGCAAATAGAAGCACTGATTGACCAGTTATTTGCCAATGTATGGTTGGGACTTAAGGTGGTATAGGATTTCAAAGAAAGAAGAGAGGATTGATCAGTGGTGATGTTGGTGGCTAAGGCGCTGGTTATGAAAGGCATTGCTAAAATGAAGAAGGATAGTAGAGAAGATAGGTTTGTGATCCCCATGTTAGTATGCATATATGACAATTGATACATACAGGCTAAGGTTTCCATGAATAAATACTACTTGCACGGCACCATATAATATGTACTGAACGAGTGGACTTCAATTATCTATCATTTATCTTAATGAAAATGCATTATTGCAATAATATATGACTTCATATATGCTTTTGTATCCAACGGGTCTTCACTCAGCTCTCCAGTTCACGACCCCACTATATATATGAGCTGTACGTATTGGGTGTATGCATGCATGCAAGAATACAAAATATCAATTCTCCTGAATTAATTGCTACGGTGTTCGTAATCTATCAGCTCTAGCATGGATGCCTTTCGGTCTATGGCAGGGACTTTAGCCCCAGAAATTGGAAATTGGAAATTGGATCAGTTAGCTGGAAACACTCCAACCACACTCAGAGGCTTAATGAATTTTATTAATATTTTCTTCAGCATACAACAAGCTGAAAATTAAAGTCAGATATATAGGTACTTTAATTTCTGTTGGTGACATACAAAGCTATTGAATATTGTAGTGGGTTAGGTGAAAAAACTTGTGTAGAACGATGTCATTTTTTACGGTAATCCACACAATTGTAGTCCACACAATAACTATTGAGTACGATATTCGAAGGATTGCAGATGGTATTAACTCCTGTAAATACTAAGAAGTAGAATACCGAAATGTTTTGAGAGGTTGGACTAGGTCAAAACTGGACCACTCCTTTAATTTGCATTCAAGGATTTGGCCTTAAATACCTTTCAGCTTGTATTTATTTATTTATTCATTGCGAAAACAGACGCGATTTCACCATCTGAGAGTAAAGCGAGTTTGAAAGAAACATATGTTAGTTGACTCTTTAAGTCCTGTAGCTTAGAGATCACCACCGTTCAATTCAAATCATCCAATTTGAATTAAAGTGTGTATTGTAGGAACTGAACTTAAATTGGAACCATATAGACGGTTTTGGTTCAGAACCAGAATCCAAAACATTCCAGCTCTGGTCCATAATATATATTAGGAACCGAAATGGTAGGTTATGGTTCAAAAGAATCAAAACCATAAAAAACAAAAAAAAAAAAAATTAAAATTTGACTATAACAATTATTTTATTTTTTTAGTTTAACTTTAAAGTTTAAATATTTGATATAACTATTTAAAAAAAAAATTAGAATGAGAAAATTCTAAAAAAATTGATGAATTTAGACTATTTTAAAAATAAAAAATATAATTTATATATAAAAAAAAAGGGTTCGACTGACAGTAAATTGAAATCGCCGGTTCGAATTCACCATTTTCCAGAATCGAAAATGCCAGTTCGAAACCATAACCGAACTGTAATGGTCACCTCTATTTAGCCTACCATTTAGTCGACAAATAAATCGCTCAACTTCTCATTAGGTGGGAGGACTAGTGCATGATGCTCACAAGAAGTTCACCATATTGAGTCTAACTCAGTTGATTCTTGAGTAGTTGATTGTGAACAAGGGCATATGATCGAATCTTGGCAGCCATAATGTGAGAGTTGCACTTAATGTGGTTCATTATAGACATCAGCTGATATTAGTCCTCTAATAACAACTGGGGCAGGCAAGGAAAATGTTATTTAGTCACAATATCTAATTTATTTAGGGTGTGTTTGGTTCACATGAGAATCGGAATCGGATTGGATTCAAATACTTGATAATGGTAATGGGTTTTGGTGAAAGTATTTTACTTGTTTGGTAATAGGGTGAAATGAGAATGATTATCAAAAATAGTAATGATTTTGGTGAAACCCTTATAAAATAAGGAATGAATTTTTCAATTAATAGGGTATTCTAAACTCATAGTAGTGTTTTAAAAACAAGTAAACCAAACAATAACAATCACTTTCATACCCATTTCTGAGTGCTAAACCTGTCAACCAAACACACCCTTAGGGGGCGTTTGGTTCAGGTTATATAAGATGATTTGTTTGGTAATATAAGATTCACATGCACTACTGAAAATTATTGAATTTCCAACCACCTGAAAGTGATCTTAAATCAAGTTGAAAGCAAAAAGTGGTCGGAAATAGCAACAAGAGTTTTTCCGGATACCAAAAGTGGTCGGAACAAAGTTTTCTACTTGATTTAAGATCACTTTCAGGTGGTCGGAAATTTCAGAATTTTCAATAGTGATGTTTGGTTCAGGTTATGTAACTTTCCTAGGGAATGTCAAATAACCTCCGTATTAAGTTTATAGCTATTGGATGAGAATGTGAGATACCCTCCAATTTCTTAGTTAATCTCACATTCCCCTGTCTTATTACTAATGTTGGACTTATTGACGTTTTAATCAATTTATCTTATTACCATTGTCTTATTTACATATCTTAATTTTAAACCATTCACATCAATCTAATATTCCCTAAGGTAATCTAACATTCCGTGAACCAAACGCCCCCTTAATTTTCTTTAATTTCCCCACACCGCTAATAGATTTTGATCTTCGCTATGGCTTACTTCAAATAATAGATTTTTTTTTTTTTTTTTTTTTCATGAATGCAATAGTCCGATGGATAGCGGTATTCCTCTTAGAATAGTCAATTAGAGTGTGCTCAAATTTTATTCCTACTAATTTAATGATGTGTATATATATATGGTGGGAATTAATTTGATGCAAAGAAAGCGAAAGGTTGCAAGACTTTTCAAATAGAAATTAGCTGGAAAAATTGGAGAGAGGCCAAAACAATTAATAATAATGGAAAATGACACTTTTTCTCATGAATTATATGTTAATAGTGTTTTTTTGTCCAAATTAATAATGTATTTACATTTATCCCCTTAATTATTTTAAAAGTGGTGTTTTCTCCCTTCTCTGTTAAATGAATTTTTGAATTGTTAAAAATAAGAGTAAAATATGTATTTCAAGTTATTTTTGTCTCCAACAAATTATTTCTTATATATGACAATTAGAATAAATGTAAAAAAAAAAACTATTTGCAAATATTATAATTATAATTTTAAACTAATACTACTATACTAGTAATAGAATTAAGACTTGAACACAAATTTAGAAGTAATAATTACTTGTGTTTAAATCTTAATTATGTTGCTAGCATTATCTTAAATTTATAATTATAATATTTTCAAATATTGTTTGTTGTTTTTCGCTTTTATTTTGATTTTCACATATAAGCAATAATTTGTTAGAAAAGACAAATAAATGAAATACTTATTTTGCTCTTAATGAAAATGGTAATGTGGAACCATAAACCATTCATGAGAAAAAAGTGTTATACGCAGATAATTCAAGGATAAAATTTGATATTTTCCCTAATATAATAATAATAATGTAGAGAAAGGGAAAGCTTGAGAGATTTTTTAAATTAGAAATTAGTTGAAAAATATGTAATGGGATGTTGTAGGTAATGATGTGTCTGATTTTGTGCTTAATTGCTTGTCTGAGAAGTCTTTTCCTGCTAATTTGAATGATGCTAATATTGTGTTAATCCCAAAGAAATGCACCCCTGAGTCTGTATCTGATTTAAGGCCGATAGCGTTGTGTAACGTGTTGTATAAGATAATGGCAAAGATGTTAGCAAATCGCATGAAACCTTTGTTAGAAGGGTTGATTTCTGTTTCGCAAAGCGCTTTTTTACCAGGAAGGTTGATCTCAGACAATATTCTTATTGCGTCTGAGGTTGGCCATTATTTGAGG